TGTGTGTGTGTGTGTGTGTGTGTGTGTGTGTGTGTGTGTGTGTGTGTTCGTGCTTTGGTCTGTAAACCAAATGCGTATGTGTCCTGCAGTCAATTGCCGAAGATAAATTATTGTATACCAAGAAATATTTTCAACTAGATTATATTATGGTTTGTTTAGTAAAATATCCACGGTGTAATTTATGACGAGACTAAAATACTACGAGTGCGTCTATCACTTATATCAATTAATACTATATGTGACCTACACTTCTTGTGCATATGAAACGTACCTGTGCTGCAATAATTTTCTTATTCTTTTCCGTAAGATATTATAAACTATATATCTGTATAACTGTATGGGCCGTAACTGGAAATTATTTTTTGGAAGGGAGAGGGGGTTGGGTTGACCGTAACTGTCATTCGTATATGCACGGGACTGCGGTGGTGCATGAAGCAATATTTACTGTCCGTGTACCTAACTGAAATGTTTATACTCGTAATTATTCCAAAAGCGCCTCAAAAATATAAGAATATTATATTAATTTTTTTGATGTAAACGTACAATGTTTATTGATTATTCTAGATTATAGTTACTAATCACTATAGTTATTTTAGCATAATAATATAATCAATAATTTTATCATTCAAGACAATCTAACATAAGGAAAACAAAAATAAAAAACTTTCAGTTATCTAGACGAAATAAGAAGATAAAAGATAATTATTCAAAAAAATATTAAAAATGTGATTCTTAGCTATTTTTTTTTTTTTTTAATCAATTTATGTCTTAAGAATTTAATTTTCTGTTTATGTTTAATAGGTTTTCCAGTAGTAGATTAGAGAACATAGATTGTTATCAATTACGAATAATATTAATTTTAATTAAATTATTGCTATTATTATCCCATAACAGTTCACCTAATTTTATTTATTATTCTATATTCAAAACTATTATGCATTTAATATAGACAAAAGTGGGTAAATAAAATAATGAAATAATTTTTTAACAAAACATAAAACTAATTTATAATTAAAAAAATAAACCACCAATTTGCTTAATTTAATATATATTATCTATCAACAAAAAAAATTGCATAAGGATAATTGTAAGATAAGATATTCTGGCTTTATCTTGATAAAAGATAAAAAATAATTTCCACGTTATCTAGATTATATTTTAGATAATTTTATCTAGATCAGTGGTCGGTAACTTTTTTGGATCCTTGGGCCATATTCACAAATTCACGGGCCAGATAATACACGGGCCAGACAATGCGGGTCGTATAAAAGAAACGTGTGGGCCGGATGCGGCTCACGGGCCGCCGGTTGCCGACCATTGATCTAGATAGTCCTAACACTGAATATAACACCGACAAATTTTGGGTGGTTTCAATATCCAAATCCCCTCAGGTACGACCTTGACGATATCAATACGGAATTATACAAGAAAATACTTTGAGACTGAGAGGAAAACAAAATTCTGAATTCAATGGGGTCTGTAATAATAAATTTAAAATATTTTAATATTATTATTGAAATTGTTATTCCAATAAGCTACAGTTGTACTCAGTACGGGTAGGTGCTATTAAAAATAATGCATTCGCATTCGTACCACATGTTATTATTGTTTTCTCTTTCATTGTTTTATTGATTATTATGTAATATATTTTACGTACACCTGATATTTTTATAATACTTTTATTTTTATTGTTATCGGTTCAGAAATTTCTGCTAGATGAAAATCTTGCACAATGTTTAATTTCGATTCACTTGAATAAACTTATGAATATGGTCTATGAGTTATCTATGATAAATGCACTTCAATTTGTATGGCTAACAGTTATATTATGGATTTGGTATATTTAATTATTTTATATGTATACATTTATCCATTTAAAACAGTTGTACATATTTTTTCATATTAACGGTTAAAATTAAGTTTCACGTGTAAATAAAAGACTAAACTTTAACGATTATTATGAAATATCTTAATAATTAGAATAATAAATGTAAATAAAACTAATAATTCAATTTGATAACGGTTGCTAAACTAGTTTATATGAACAAAAAAAATTTTAAATTTGACACATATATTGATAAAAAATGTAATAATAGGAAAAAAATTTTCAGCTTCAAAAATAAAATCAAAATTATAGTTGTTTTTTTTTTGTCATTTAATGTAGTATAAAATAGTTTTAGTCATTTAATAATAATTAATTTAATAATAATTATTTATTAAAATATTAAAAAATTATTAAATGGTTAATACTTATAAATTAATATATAAATAAATAAATAATTTATAAATATAAATATATAAAAGCTTAGCCTGGAGTATTATTATATCTGTAAAGTACGCCCGGTTTCGAATTAAAAATTCATCATCAGGTAGGTACATATAAAGTTATTAAATTGCGACTGAATATGAAAAAATAAAATCGCAACTATAGTTGTCTATGTATTGCTTATGAAATTATAACTTTCGCCTTTAATATTTTTCAACACGAACAATATATTTCGGTATCAATGGTTGCGTTATCGAAATCCATAATAATTTTATACTGCTGAAAATTTAGAATAAAAGTATGGAAAAAAAAACGTGAAATAAAAAGAGGGAGAGTATTGTTATATTTATCCCTTTATTTTCGTCCGTCTAATGTCTACATCGCAATTATACGTTCTGTCTGCTTAAGTTATATTTTCAAACATTTCCAAGAGTCTAATGTGGTGTTGTTTCGATCGTTAATAAGAGCGGGGAAAAACATTTTAGGAGATAGATTCTCTTATAAACGTGGAAAAAAAAAAAATTCAAAAAAAATTTCATTTCACCCGATATAATATGAGCATACACATGATGGTCGTTGCAGCGTCCGAACGTCTTCTTCGACGTGGTCCCCGAATACCTAAGGCGTAAAGTTTATATTTATCAGTCTATTTTTACGGACCTGCTAGCATCAGCGTCACACACACGCGCGCACACACATACAACTCAGATATTACGAGTGTACGAATACATCAGGCAACATTGACTTCCGAGATTTCCGTCGCCACCGGAATCCGTACGCCGCGGATGATACGTTAAACAGCGTGAATAAGTTTGGAAATTAAAAAATAATAAAAATAAAACAGTTGTTTGAAATTCGTTTGATTTTTTCCGTATATTGTTCTTGCATTGTTTTTCTACGTCGTTTGCGTTTATACACAAATATACATAAATATATATACTCATCCACACGCGTTGACGTCGACCAAACGAAAAAATAATAATTATTATTATTATTATGAACGACAGGAAATCCCAATTGGTTCTCAACATCAATGTAAGTAGCTCTGTACTTGAAGTATTTTTTTTCCACCTCCTTCCGTAGTAACTATTAACAGCGTATATACATGACGATTTGTGACACCACTTACAACGCAATAGTTACACACATGAATTTTGATGATATAAGTTCGATTATGTTTATGTCAGAGAAGCTACAGCAAATCGAAATCAATTCATAACATATTCCTATTTGTACGTCCCAATGGATAGATTATACATATAATTTGTCAGCTATTTTAAATTAACTATTCAGTATAGTAATATTTTGATTTGTGACGTTAAGTATATTTTATATTTTATATTTATTATTTGTAGATTATCATTACACGCTACGATTTTGTTATGCATCCCGTACATTTTATATAGTTGATAATTTGATATAATTTTGACAATATTTTAGTTTAATGTTTTTTAGTATCTTTTTTACCTAAATCGATAGTTTTTATTTTTGTAACTTACGTATTCTTGTTGATCTGGTAACTTGATATAAAATAAACACACCGAATGTAAATAATTTTGTACAATAAAACAGGATACATTGACTGGGGTACATTAACTGTTATCAATACGTTTTCATTTGGATACATTGTTAAAACTTGATTAGGTTTATTTATGTTGACAAATGTTAGTATAATTTTTTGTAACTTTAAGAAAAATATTACTTGTAGTACAATTCCTATTTCAGATTTTTATTTCAGTCAAAATTTTGAACAATACTTTTATGATAAATACAAGCAACAAAATAAAATTTGAAGTAATTTTTAATTTTAATTAAGAAATCTCCTCTTTAAGTGGTAAATAAGTAGAAAAAAAAAAATTGTTTTTCAAAAAGTTAATAGTCGGGACTGAAAGGATTAAAAGGATATATGATTATTTGGGTATTAATAAAATTAATATTTATTAAAATGTATGTTTACGAATTTAATGACATCTGTAATATTTTAAACTACTCTATTTATATAAATCAAATTTAATTTTTAAAACTGTGGTACAAATTCAACCCCACTGTTTAAATCTATGTAAGTAATAATTTAGTTTTCTTTAATTTACTTTACTACATAATTATAGTTTTTGAAATCCTCGACACAAAAAATGCTTATGCAAATGACTTTAACCTTGACAAAGTGAATTATATTTCGTTCCAAATTATACTATTAAAATGTACCTATACTCTAGATATTTATCTAAATAATTAACCTAAATAGAAGAAATCAATACATTTCAGCAGTTATGAATTTAAAAGTACTTATATAATTAACAGTTCACAAAAAATTATGCATAACTCAACTAAGAGTAATCAAGAACAACAATAGTAACCTAGAATTTAAAAATGTACATGATATTAGTTATTATTGAAGTATAAAAACAATGTACTCGTATGCAGGGCCGCCTTGAAGATGAAAATCAAGGGGGGTGAATAATATGAAAAATTCCGACTGCAATTTTTTACTCAATGTATAGTATAATTAACTAGTCGTATTTTTATTTTTTAACATGTATATATGTGTCAGTGTCGCACATTCTTAAAATTGACAATTTAATTATATATAAATAATAATATTCAGTGGCGTATTTTGGGTGATTTTTCGGGGGGGTGTACAACATTTAATGAATTTCACAAACGAAAATTTTAGAATGGTTTACTGATGTAAAGAAACATGGAACTAACTTTTTTTAAATTACTAGGAATTAACAAGTAATTTATAATTTAAGACATAGATACATGGTAAAATACACATGTTGGAGGTTATTACTTAATTCTGATTATTTGAATTTATTCTAAAAATTACCTTTTATATTATTATACATACACAAAGATATTAAAATCTATTGTAATTATTATTATTTTTATCTATAATAAAAGATCTAAGCGCCTCTTATTTAAACTAAATTTGTCAATAACTTTATTGACATCAATTCCAACTTCTCTGTGGATAGCTAAGTTCTAGCATAGCTAAACCATTTAACCACTCCTGTATAAAAAAAAAACTTAAAAATTTATTGTTAAAAAATAATAAATTAACCAATGCTGATTTACTTGTGAAATTATGTTTCGTAAGTATGTTTTTATTCTTTTCAAATTTGAAAACGACCTCTCACTAAATGCAATTGATACTGCAGTTGATTTTTAAATAGCAATTTTGTAGAGTTATTTATAAGTAACTCGGAGAAAAAAAAAGTTGAAATAGGTTGAGTTTCAAATAAATAAAAGAAATTTGTGATTATAATATATAAAATAACATATTATCACTAGGGTTCGAATGTTATAGGAGCTGCATATTGTTCCAAATGCTCTCGATTAATAGCAATTCAAGCTAGAAATCCGAGCTATACAATGTTGAGTTTAAAAATTGAAAACTAAAAATGCATATTTTGCATATTTCGTTTATTTTAGAGAAAAAGTGCATATTTTGTCGATTTTCATTGATTTTCGTATATTTGTATGCATATTTAATGTTTTCTAAAAAAATTAATTTTTCATTCTTAACCGATTTATTTTAAATAATGTTACATTACACAACGTTAACAACACGGAAAATGTGTATCATAGAAAACTCATTATTTTTCGTCGTTATTTATTGTTATGTTTTAATACTAAAGATCATCATTAGATGGTTCAATGCTATAACTTAACAGGTATTATACAACATATATTTATTTCGTATTTCACAAATAACGAAAATATATTTGTTTAACTATTTTTTCAGTTCAATAAAATCTCAAACACCAACTGATTATGCAACATATTTTAGTTTTCAATAATACAACTTTTTTAATTATAGGTTTTTAAAATTTACTAATTAACTTTTAATAAATAAATTAATACTTTTTTTTTATATATTTCATATTTTTTCATGCATATTTTATCATTTTTTCGTGCATATTTGCATGCATATTTTGTCTTTTTTAGCTCCTATAACTTCCGAACCTTAATTATCACCATATTGTGAATAGGAAGGGACAGAGTCCTCAGTTTGAGCTAATGTGGCTTGATATTAATCATTACTTAAATATATTTATTAATTTATTTTATTGTCACAATATCGACCTAGTTATATTTTTTTGTTTACTTTGGTGAACCATTTATTTTATGATTAAATAAAAATATCATAAAATAAACGTTAAAATCAATTTAATATAAGGCCTTTATTTTTTTTTAAGTCGGGGGGTGTCTAGGTTAAGACACCCCCCCCAAATACGCCTCTGATAATATTTAGTATTGTATAATAAGTAGTTGTATACATTTTATTCGTGTATACACTGTATTACGAAATATGTAAAATATATTTTCTGTAAGTAATATTAGGTCCTTCTAGGCTATAATGAAACAAGTCCGACTACCGACTGGTGTTTTCGTTGGGGGGTGAGACACCCTCCCCCAAGACGCCCCTTTGGGACGGCCCTGTTCGTATGTATGATGAGTATGTAACAGCTAATATTCTTCTCTCTCTTAAAATGTATTGATCTATTAAGACAATAGCCTTGAGACGGTAATTTATTTTATTTTAATGTTCATATATTATATATGATTCTTACACGAAGTAGAAACACTGTAAACATGGTTTCGTGATGTCCTAGGTTGTACCTATCCAGCTAACTTAATATTTAGTATTTTTTTACGTCAAAAATATTATATGTAAGACGTCACTAAAAGTGTTCTAGCATATATTATTTTATAAAATTAATATCTATGTATTTGAATTAATTTACAAAAAAAAAAATGAAATATTTTTATGTCTTGATTTTTGGGTTAACGAACATAATCAATACAATTTACTAGAAACTAAAAAGTATTAATATAAATATTTTCTTTTAGTTGATTGAGTTTAACCACATAGGTTATATAATTCCTTAGTATACAATATATAAATAAATAATTAATTATGAATGAATCAAATTGAAATACATTTTACCTAAAACCATATTTATTAAATAAAAAAAATCGTATATCCAATTTTTGTTTTCTTCAATATAAAATATTAATTGTAAATTATCAGTTGAAAAAACGGGTATAATATTTTCATTTGTTCTGGTTAATGGCTCAGAAGTTTATATAATAAATTTCATGTAGGTTTTAATGTCACTATACTTCTTTAAAAATAATTAAATTAAAAATCGTTAGTCGCACTAGACATTGTGGCACTGTTCTGTTATGTATCTAAAGATCTAATGATACGTGTATACAAAAATTGTATTTTTTTTACTTTTATTTTTTCATATCATTTATCATTTTTCATTATAGTATAAACAAACAATGACAATATGATACACACCAATGACATACGTTTCAACAATAACATCATTTGCTAACTATAGCTGTAGGTATAATCATGTTTTATAAAAAAAACTTAAATTTTCAAAAAGAAAAAGTTAATTAAACATTAATGGTCTTATAACGGTAAGAATTATTTTAAACTTGTGATAATAATTATTAGGAATGTCTATATAATTTAATACTTGAGTGATCTATTATAGCAGATAAACATCAGAATTAACTATTGCTACCATTACTATTTGTTGGTTTATAATAGTTGTCTTCATATTGTAATATTTTTAGAAAAAATGTATAAAAAAAATTAAAAATTATTTTTAAAGGATGAAAATAATAATAAACAATACATTTGTTGTTTTATAATTCAAAACTAAAGAAAATGTTTCTATTTGATATTTAAGATAGTTTATTATACTTAAAAATACATATATGTATAAATATAATATTATAGTATTAAATATATGTAAATGTATTATAATATATAATATTTAAAAATTATTTTATGTAATTAAAATAAAAACATGAAACATTCTTAAGAATGTTATTACAATTTTTTAAATTTTCTTACTGTTGTAAGTACGAATTATATTATGTTTAATGTAATATATTTAAATTGTCTGGAGAAATTACATGCACAAAACTCAATATATATATATGTTTTAAATTATATAAGAATTTAAGGTATTTTATAACCTAAAGACACGAAGGTGATTTTATTTTTA